TAGGAAGTCACTGGATAGAATTCAAGGCAAGCTGGATATGGTAGTGCATGCCTGTTAGTCACAGCACTTGGGAGGTTGAGGCAAGAAGATGCCTATGAGTTCAAGGCCAGACTGAATGACACAGTGAGCCCAACTCAAAAAGCAAAACCAAAATAAAACAAAATTCAGGGCAGCCATATACTTGGATGGGAAAAGATTACATCTTTATTTTAATTTACCTGTGATAATTAGCAATTATGTCATCTGTCCCCAAGATTAGTACCTGGGCCTTCTATTGGTCTCCTGCTTCTAGTTTTTTTTTTTTTTTTTACCTGGGATCCAACTCAGGACCTTGTGCTTACTAGGCAGGCATGGTGCCACTGAGCTAAATCCCCAGCCCTTCTATAATCTATTTTTAATAGAGTATCCAGAATGATTTTAAAAATGAGAAAGCTCGGGCTGGGGATTTAGCTCAGTGGCACCACACCATACCTGCCCGGCAAGCGCAAGGTCCTGAGTTGGATCCCCAGTTTATTAAAAAAAAAAAAATCAGCTCATTCTTCTACTGAAAAACTTCCAGTAACTCTTCACTTCACTCAGAATAAAAGCCAATGTCTCAACAATGGCTACAGGGACCTACTCCAATACCAACTCAGACCCAGTTATTACTTCGACTTAATCATGGTTACCTTTCCCCTAGCTCACTTCTCCAAGTGTTAGTGGCGTCCTCACTATTCCTCAATTACTCAGAAAACTCCTACTCTTTGCTGATACAAAATACTGATTACTTTACCTGAATTCATATAATTTATAGAATACATCTAACATATAATATCCCAAAATGCATATTATAAATTACATATTTATAATATGTAACAATTCATTATGCTTTTTTTTTTTTTTCGAGACAGGGTCTCACTATGTAGTTGAGACTGACCTGGAACTCACTATGTAGCCCAGGCTGGTCTTGAACACACAGCGATCCTCCTGCCTCAGCCTCCCGAGTGTTGGGATTACAGGTGTGCACCACCACACACAGCTTTTATTATGCCTATTTCTGATAGTTGAATAGAAGCTAAGTTCCAAAAGGGCAGGGAATAATAAAAATGTACTATTTTAAAGGGATATTATCCTTTATTTAAAGGTCGAGCTTTTCTTCTGAAAACACTTCTGACAGCAAATGTGTGTGGGGCTAGGCATGGTGACACACACCTATAATTCCAGCATTTTGGGAGGCTGAGGCAGGAGGAATGAAGATGGTATGGCTTGTGTCTAGATGTGTTCCCAAAGCCTCATACAGTCATAGGTGGGGCTTTTGCAGAGGTGGCTGACTCTGTGTGACTGACTCATGGTACACTGCTAGGATTAAAGGTGCTAGGATTAATGGTGGGTGATTACTAAGCCAGTCCACTGATTGGCTTGGCATCACCCTAATCCCAGTAGCCTGAATATACAAGGGACAGAAAGAGGCTTGTCACGTCTCTTTCTCTGCTACCTTCTGCGCACCATGAACTGTTTCTCCTCTGCAATGCCTGTCTGCCATGCCACTTTGTCTTGGAGCAGCCAATTACAAACTGAAACTTCCACAAACTGTAAGCTAAATAAACCATCCCCGCTTTAACCTTGGTTGTTAGATATTTTGTCTCAGCAAAGAGCAAAGTAAGTAAGACAGTAAGTCTGAGCCCAGCTTGCGTGATTTCAGTGAAAGTTTGTCTTAAAATAAAAAAAAGAAATTGAGGTTACAGCTCAGTGTGAACACCCTGAGTTCAAGCTCCAGTACAAAAATTTTTTTTTCTTTTGTGTGTGGGTGTTCTACAATTCAATTCCATTATTACCTTGAATTAGTGCAGACTACACAGCTCCCACAAGACTACCCCCATTTCAGATGCAAGTCTCAAATGGGGGGCCCAGGCTACCCACACTTCTGCTAGCCAACTACAAATTTGAGGTTTCCCATTATCTGCCTCAAGTTCATCGATTTACTAGAACGACTCGCAGAACTGAGGAAAGTGCTTTACTTCTTTTGGCTTTTTGAGGCAGTGTCTATGTAGTTCAAGTTGTCCCTGAACTCAACATGCAGCCCGGCTGGCCTTGAATTTGTGTCAGTCCTACGTCAGCCTCCTTAATGCTGGGATATAGGCATATGCCACCATGCCTAGCACTTTACTTACTATAGGTTGTGTATCCCTTATCTTAAATGATTGGGACCAGAAGTGTTTTGGATTTTTTCAGATCTTGGAATATCTGCACGTTTTTTATATCTTGCAGATGGATCTACGTATAAACATGACATTCATGTTTCACATAGACCTTATACACACAGTATGAAGTAATTTTACCTCCCTTTTGACTGCTATCCACCATATGAGGTTGGGTATAGAATTTTCCACTTGTGATGTCATGTTGGCACTTAGAGCTTTTAGATTTTGGAGCATTTTGAGGATGTGCCACGGTTTGGATTTGGTTGTCTTCCAAGGAACCCTATGTTCAAGGCTTGGTCCTCAGTGTGACAATGTTGAGTTGGTGGGACTTCTAAGAGGTAGAACATAGGTCTCTAGGTCAGTAGGGGACCAGTTGCTCTCTTGCTCCTTGACTGGTGATGTGATGGCTTCCTCCCCCTGCCACCCACCTGATATGACAATGCTAAGGGGTGAGACGATGCCAGCATCACGCCCTTGAACCTTTTCTCTACAAAGTTAGCCCACCTTAGGTATTTCACTGTAGCAATGAAAATGGACTAAGACAGGACATATTTATGTAAACTTGTATTACCAATTTATATAAAGGCCATGTATAACTCAGGAACAGCTAAGTGTAAACTTAGCTAAGCTAAGCTTACATAAGGTAAGTTATAGGGTTCATAAGGTGCATAGAGCTTCTATGCCCTCTCTGGGAACTGCTCTCCCAGCGCCTCTGTGTGTTCATCAACCTGGAAGCCTCTAGCATCCTGCCATTAAGGGTTTTTATAAAGGTTTAATTACATGGGTAGGATTAAATCATTACCATTGGTGATTAACTCAATCTCCAGGCTCTTCTCCCTAGGAAGGTCAACCAGGTAGCCATCTTTAAAAAATGGATCCCTACCTTATATTATTCCTCAGAATAAATTCCAAATGGTTCAGAGATTCAAATATGAATAATGACATCACATGTGTGCATGTGCAGATCCATATACACACACATCAGGAAAACCTTGGGATTAAAAATCTTGCAGGTTTAAGGGAAAACAGGAAACAAACAAACAAAAACCTCCATGTCTGAAAGACTTTCAGAAAAGCCAAAAAGAGAAGACAAAGCAGAAAATAATATTTGTAACTTACATCACAAGGTATTATCATACTTTCTATCACTAGTACATAATGAACTACTAGAGTCAATAAAGAAATGACAAAATTATTTGGGAGAGAAGTGGTAAAGAATATGAACATATAGTTCACAGAAAAGGGTATATAACTCTTAAATTTAACATCATTTAAAAGAGAAAAGCAAATTTAAAATATTCCACCGTTTTTTTCAACTACCACATTGGTAAGAGCCACATATTTGATAGTTTAGTGTTGGCTAAACAGTAAGGAAATGACCATGTTTATTTACTGCTCGAGGGAGTGTAAAGTGATATATGTACATCACCTTAGCAATTATCTATAAAATTTCAAGTGAGTGTTTTGGCCCAGAGTTCTCATTTCTGTAAATTCATCCCATATATGTTTTATTTAATAAAGAATCTAAGGCTGGGGATTTAGCTCAGCGGTTCGGTGGCCTGCCTTGCTAGCGCAAGGACCCGAGTTCAATCCCCAGCACCAAAAAAAAAAAAGAATCTAAGCCACTCATTATAAGATGTGTAAGTTTTATGAAAAACTCAGGAAGAATGCTATACCATCAAATGTAAGTAGTATTCAAGTTTGAGATTTTAAAATGTGAGAAGTGCATTTAGAACTGAAACCATACTGTATCTACATACATGCGATATGACAGGCATAGAAGATGAAATAATATGGACAATGTTTTTGTCAATAGCAAATGATGGAAAGCAACTAAATGTCCATCAATATATTTCTGGTTAGTAACAACATATCAACAGAATGGAAATAAAAGCAACTCTAAAAAAAGAATAAGGGGGCCAGGGATTTAGCTCAGTGGAGCTGCTGCCTGCCTTGTAAGCACAAGGTCTTGAGTTCGATCCCTGGTACCCCCCGCAAAAAAAAACCAAGAATAAGGAAGTACTGCGATTTGAAAGGATCTTAATGAAAAGCAATATGCCAACTTTTGTGAAGAAGCAAAAAGGAATAAATCCAGATTTACATTTGCTCATGTATATACATACTGAAAGTACGACAGAAAAGAAACTCTGGTTACTGACAGAAGTTGTGCAAGCACTGGGTGAAGGGGTTTGGGCATAGAAGACATTTCACTGTTGATTTTATATTCTTGGGGCTAATGAATAGATGACTTAGCTGAAAGGAAAATCCAGAAATTTGGTATTTTTGAAAACACACTTTATCGTGGAATATATACAATATTTACTTTGCTTGCCATTTGACATGCCACAGAAATCAGAAAATCAGCCTGACACTAAAAATTTTTGATATGACATGAAGAGAGCACATATTCTGACAATGTCAAATTCTGCCTTTCAGTACTAAAACCAGCTGTAATTCTTTATTCTTATAATGACTATCTGATAATTTCTTTCTTTATCATGGGCTTTATTTAATATTGGCAAATTTTCTTCATCACGTCTCAGTTTCATAAAACCATCCTTTACTTTCTCATGAAGCCATGTTGAAAGACATTTTCTATAATGCAGGGAAAAGAATCTGGAACCATCACAAAGTCTAAAAATGTTACAGGAGTCTTACAGTGCTTTCCATATTTTAAATATTTTCTGGTTTTTTCATGGTAATCTTCCCTTTTCTCCAGCTGTGTAATGACTTGTTCCCAATACACTTGGACTATTCAAAATCAAGTTGCAGGAATGGTTTGACGTGAATGCAGAGGCTGTCTTGGAGTTGTTGCGTCACTTTTTTTTTTTTTTATTCTCTGTTGATAAACCTATCACAACCAAGTTCTTCGATCAGAGGATTGATAACCTCAGATGCAGTCAGAGCTATGGTAAATGTTAAAATGTCAAAATCCACCCTCTGAGGATTACGCATATACTCAGCATCAAAGGCTGCTTCCCTGGCTCTGCAGGCTTCTACAAATCGCCTGCGGCGTTCTTCAAGCTCCTGTATTCTGCCCGGGGCTATCGGGTAATTTTCCAGATATTGGCGGAGGAATTGCTGGTAATTAATTCCTAAAACGCTAAGTGGGTGACGGAGGCGAAGATACGGCAACGCAGCCAGGTTCGCAGCCTGACTAGCTCTGGACCTGGGCCTGTTCTCAGGACCCTCTTCCTCCAGGGGCTCCCCCAACAATCGGGCGACCTCTGCCATCCGGACCTCCCTGGACACCGCCCCCATCTGGCCTTCCCTGGCCGCCGGTCCCCCGCGGGCCGCCGCCGC